CAGTATCACACGGAGAGGCCCAGTCTGCTGAAAAGGCCACCTTGGGTGTAGATGCTTCCTCACATGCAAGGAAGACCCTTGTGTGAGCTCCTGGTGATCACCAGCGACTTCTAGCCACTCACATTTGAGAACATGGCCGGGCAATGGCCTGAGCCAGGGCGGGAACCCGCAGCACGGGGAGGTCACCGTGTCCTTTCTTTTCAGGGCTCTGTCACTGACAGCACCATTTTGTACAATGTGGCGTTTCCTGCACGGATCCTGAAATCCTACTCGGTAGGAAAACGGTCCTTTCTTCCTCGGTACTTTATTTTACTTGGGGGAGGGGTCAGTTCAGGCTGGACTGAACCGTCATGTGTGCGCATTCTGCTGTCCTGTTTTTGGTCTGTGCCTTTTCCCACTGGCCTTTGAATTGGTGGGAGTGTCTTCCTTTGTGCACCGTTTTTGGGTTGGAAGGGATGCATTTCTGGTGCTCGTTGGGAGGTCGTCCTGGACCATGTTGGTCCTTTGCTTCATGCTCTTCAGCCCCCCGCCCACCTACCACACCTGGGGCACTCGTGTTCTGGGGACTCCCCTGGTGACACCACCTCCACTGTCCCCCCCCAGGTCATTGAGGTGATTGCTGGCGTCTCGGCCGTGCTGGGTGGGGTCATCACTCTGAACGTGCATGACGCGGTCTCAAGCCCCCACCTCTCGGTGACATTCTTCTGGATCTTAGTGGCTGTGAGTACATCCAGCTCAGCCCTTGTCCGTCCGTCTGTCCATCTGGCTGGTCAGGCTGTGCTCACCAGCTCAGTTTGGTGGCGCTTAGGCAGGAAAACGGGGAAGAGAAGAGAGCGGGGGCGCGGGCGCTAGGCCCAGAGGAATGTGGGACTGAGTCCACGACTCAGTGAGTCAGTGGGGTAGCTGCTTTTATTTGAACGGCTCTGTTATTTTGTAGTTTTTGTATTACTTCTTCCTGAAAAATACTTTTTAAAAAGAATGTTTTTATTGATTTTTAGAGAGAGAGGAAGGGGGAGAGAGAGAGAGAGAGAGAAAAACATCATCCATCGGCTGCCTCCCGCACGCCCCCTACTGGGGATGAGCCCACAACCCGGGCACATGCCCGGCCCCGGAATCAAATGGTGACCTCCTGGTTCATGGGTTGACGCTCAAACACTGAGCCACACCGGCCAGGCATGCTTTTTATCTTATATAAATTTATAACCTTTAACATATTTATGTTGTTTCATAACAGAATACATATTTCATAAAATACACTTACTGTATGCTATGATTTTATATTAAATACGCAACAGCTAGCACATGATAAGTGCTTCATACGAGGTCAAAGTGGTCAGGCCTGTCACCTCTGAAGTCTCCTCCTCTCTTCTTAGTGTTTTCCAAGCGCCATTGCCAGTCATGTGACCGCGGAGTGTCCCAGCAGGTGCCTGGTAGGTGGGAACCGGGCTGCAGGGCTGCGGGGGCTGTCCCAGGGCTGGGCGGTCGGTGGGGACAGCGGGCATGTGCCGTGTGCACTCGGGAGGAGGTGCCATGATTCAGCCGAAGGGGAGGAGCTGGCCTCGAGCCTCATCCCGAGTCTGCTGGGTGTCAGTTGTTCATTTGATAGTGACAGTGGCCAGGTCTGGGCCCGCATGTCCTGCGCCGGCGTCGTGTGGTCTCTCAGACTGTTGCCATCACTGTGCGGACATGGGGACGGTACAAGGCAGGTCTTGGCAGTGGGAGAAGGCCAGCGACCACAGTGTGACGCCCCCTCCTGCACAGTTAGTTATGCACAAGTTGAGGAAACTCGTGACATGGTGCACTTGGGATCAGCAGGCAAACCAGGGCAGACGCCTTAGCAGGAGCTGCAGGTGGAGCAAATGTGTGGATCCGTAACCTTGGGAGGGGCTTAAGCAGCCCAGGCTCCTCGACAGCCCATCTGCTTTCCTAGGTGGAGGTGTTGATCGCCATCTGCAGCCTCACGTCCCCGCTGCTCTTCACGGCCGTGGGGTACCTGACCTTCAGCGTGAGGAGGGTCGTGGAGGTGTTTGAAGATTACCCACCAGCCCTCAAGGTGCGTGTCTTCATTTAAAACTGTAGCTGCCCATGCCTCGCATGTGCTGGGGGGAGTGTCCCCAGGACAGGGTTTTGTGCACTGTGGCATGAGGCCAGCTCCAGCTTGCTTCCCATGAGGACGGGCAGGTGTCTGACACCCACTATGTCCCTCTGTCCCATGGGGCCAGCTCTGCTCCCAGCTCAGGCTGAGCATCCACGGTCCTGTGGTCACACCTAAGGTGCTAAAGTTGTCCCGTGACATCCCTGCTGTCCAGTTCACATTCACTGTCCATGAATTGTCCCAAGAATGTGCATTTGGCTGTCAGTCACCGGACAGTCCCCACCCTGCCCCCATGCACTGACTTTTTGGAGCCTGGGCTGATTGTCTGTGAGACGATCCCACCTGTGAATCTACTTCTGTGGCGTCAGCAGGAGCGCAGGTGTGGCCCTCCGCCTGGTTCAGCAGCAGCTGCCAGGCTGACCCTTGGCGAGGCTCAGGTCCCGTCTGCAGGAAGGAAGTCGCCGGGTGTCAGTCCCACCTTGCGGACACCCTGTCCAGCACCTTTGCCTGTGGGTGAGCACAGATGGCTGGTCCTGGCCTGGCTCCTCTGGAGGGGACCGTGTGTGGATGTTGAGTTCTGGTGGCTGCTGGGCTCCTTCCTTCTGGGGTGTCATTGCTTCTAAGCCCTTTCAGCGGACAGAGCTGAGAAATGTGTACACAGGGTGGGCAGACGGGTTCACAGGGTGAGACTCAAAACCGTTTATTCCTCTACTGTTTTTTCAAAGGCATGTTTTTATTGATTTATAGAGAGAGGGAGAGAAACATCGATGTGAGAGAGAAACATCCATTTGTTGCCTCCTGTATGCACCTTGATGGGGGGTTGAACCCGCAACCTGAGCATGTGCCTGGACAGAGAATCGAACCCACAACCTTTTGGTACACGGGACGACACTCCAGCCAACTGAGCCACCAGCCAGGGCCCTTCTATTGTTATTTAATAATTATTGTATTACTTTCCATACGAACAACCATAAATCTACTGTTGCCCCCCCTGGAGTTAAAGACCCCAAAAGTCTGTATTTCCAACTCGGATTTCACATTCTAGGGCTTTCCCTTAACACCCGTTTTTTCCTGCTTGCAGCCCTTTTCTCTTACTGCAAAAACCTTGTTTCTTGATAACGCTTAGTTACTGCTTCATTTTACCTCACACTGTTCACAACGCTCTCCCCAGCGTCACTCCAAGCGTACCTGCTGCAGGTCAAGGTCAGTCCTTGGGGCTGAAACAGCCCCTCCGTGCCGTCGATTCCACAGAGTCATGTTTTACACTTTCTGTTTAAATTCAGCCTTAAGGTTGGATGCTTTTTCCCTTCTAGCACTGTTTTTGGATCTGTGAAGTGTTTACATGGCTCAGAAGTCAGAGCCCCACCTGGTCGGGCGTGGCTCAGCGGCTGAGCATCGACCTAGTATCCAGGAGGTCACTGTTCGATTCCCCGTCAGGGCACATGCCCGGGTTGTGGGCTTGATCCCCAGTCGGGGGCGTGCAGGAGGCAGCCGATCAGTGACTCTCATCATTGATATTTCTCTCTCTCCCTCTCCCTCCCTCTCTCTGAAATCAATAAAAACATTTAAAAAAAAAGAGCGTCCCTCCCTGACAAAGCAGGTCACATGCTGCTGCTGGATCTCCACACCTTGCTTTTTTTTTTGACCAAACAATTTCTCCTGACATTTCCTCAGAGTCAGGGATCTGTCTCCTTTAATTACCCCCATGCAGTCCGTGTGACCCAGGTCACCAGGCAGTCCCCAGTACGGGGACAGGCTGCTCCAGGTCCTGACACTGTGCGAACGGCTCTGCAGGGCTCGCCCCAGCCTCGCATCTCAGGATCAGAGGGGAGAGCATCTGTGCCGTTAGATCCCCACAGGTCAGAGGGGTCCCGCTGTCCCTCCCACGGTGGCGGGAGCAGCTGTCACCCACTTTGAAGCGGGGTGAGAGGGTTCCGGTGCACACAGGACCTCCCACTGTGAGCGCAGGGGAACCTGCCTTTCCTCTGACTTCGGGCTGTGCCCTGCTCTTGTGGCTTTGGCAACTCGAGCAGCGGGCTCAGCTCTGAGGTCATTTTTCATTCTGTTTGCCGTGGTTTCTGTCGTGTGCACGTTTTTGTGTGTTTTGTGTAGTTACACTCATCTGTATTTTCTTTATTGCCCTGGGTTTTAAGCTGTAATTAGAAAGGCTAGAGCCGTGTGCCCTAGTTCACCCTGGAGCGAGGCGTAGAGGGGACCCAGGTCCGTCTTTGCTCAGTGGTGCAGGTGCGTCTGCTGAAGAGCACGTCTGTTCCTCATCTGAGAGGCTGCGCCTTGCGTGGGTCCACCTCAGGTCTCTCCATCTTCCGTCTGCTGCACCCTGCACGGTCCTGCCCTGACCGGGGAAGCTTCCAGCAGGTGGTGCCAGCGCCCAGATGCCCAGTCCCCCAGGGCTCCGCTCTCCCGGTGACCTCGCTCGGGGCTTGTTTTTCTAAATGAATGTTAGAACCAACCTGCCAGGCTCCAGAAAGCAGTGTTGCTACGGTCGCCCCGCCTTCTCTGCAGGGACACGTCCCAGGACCCCAGTGGAGGCCTGAGGCCGAGGACCCAGGACAGGCTGTGGTTTCCTCCCCTAAGGGCTCCTTCAGCTGCAGCAGCTGGAAGGTGGGGTAGCAGCTTCTTCCATAGCCGCGGCCTCTGCAGGGATTTTCATGTTTTCTCATCTAAACCTGCTGCTGAGTCCGTGTGACCCTCCCTTACTTGTAGCAAATGACTATTGTCATGGTTCCAGGGGTCCCCTGCTGAGGTCTCCATGTGATTTCATGCTTTCTGGGTGACACGTCAATTGGAGCCCATCTTCTGCTGTCTTTCACCCACAAACTTAAGGCCTTCCCCGTCTGAACTAAGCACGCACCCCATCAGGGCGGCTGCGCAGCCTGAGAGGTGACAAAACCCGCAGCTCTTCCTCCTCCGTCCCCCTGAGGGAGGGTCGTTCTCACCCCGGATCCCGGATCTCGGATCTCGAAGCCTCAGCACCAGCTTCATTTTCCTCCCGATTAAGTCAAGAAGCTCTACCTTTTCACCTAAGGGAAGTTCTGCAGCATCTCTGAAATACCCGAATTCCCAGCATCTGCTCCTGTGCTTTTGGGGTGATTATTAAGTAAAAGGAGGGCGACTCGAACGTGAGCACCCTGAACCTGTGACAGCCAATCTGATAACCCAGAGGGCTCCTAAGTGCGGACAGGGGCGGGGCAGGGATGGTGCGCAGAGGCTGAGCAGTCGAGTGGTCGTGTCCTGAGCCCGCCCTGCGAGACTTCATCTTGCTGCTCAGAAGGCAGGTGATTTAAAACTTGTGAACTGTTTATATCTGGAATTTTCCATTCAGTATTTTCAGACCGCAGGTGACCACGGGTAACTGAAACGTGGAAGGAAACCACAGGTGGGGACAACTGCGATCTTATTGGACTTGTGGTTAAGTTTGATTAACTTGAGAGTGTTTTTAACGGTGACATTGTATGGACTCGGGTCTTTTTCTTTGTTTTTTTCTTGATTTCAGAGAGGAAGGGAGAGGGAGAGAGAGAGAAACATCAGAGGTGAGAGTCATTGATCAATGAGAGAGAAACATCATCCATTGGCTGCCTCCTGCTGGGGATCAAGCCTGGAACCCGGGCATGTGCCCTGACCGGGAATCAGACTGTGACCTCCTGGTTCATAGGTCAGTGCTCAACCACTGAGCCACACGGGTCTCTTTTGTGTAAACATTTAGCCGCTTGCATTTTGGTGTGGGGCTTCCTCGGTTCCACCTGCCCAGTGCTCTGTGCCCTCCGGCCCCTCCAGGTCACTCCTCAGACCCCTTCTCCCCAGCAGCCTGTGTGGGACCCTCCGGCCTCTGGCCAGAGCTGAAAGGAATCTGTTGTCCCCGCGTTTCCTCCAGAATGGACTTGGCCCATCTCAGGAGTGTGTGTCTGGCTTGCACATGACCGGCCCCCACCCTTACAGGCGTCCTCGGTGGGGCTGCGCAGCGGAGTTCTCGCTCCCTTGCTTGCCATGTGGTTGTTGAGGGGCTCAGGAGACTTGGCCGCGGGCAGCCCATGCTGTCCACAGGCTGGCCGCCGGCAGGACATTTTGTGCCTGTTAAACCAAGAGGGCAGAATGCAGAGCAGAACTGAGTGCTCCTCGGCCACAGCCACACATTGAAGGGTCCTGCTCAGGTGACTGAGGTCACAGCCCCGGGCCTCATGCAGCTGAGCAGGAACCTGCTCCCAACCTTCAGGCCATGGGCATGGGAAGCTGGCTGCATTGTCTCCTTGGCCAGAGGGGTTAGGGGGTGGGGGTCACAGAGTGGGGGCCCTGAGGGCCAGGGTGGGGGGCCCAGCCCTCCTGCTCACGCCCGTTTCCCTGCCAGCAATCCTACGACGTGCTCCTGCTGCTGCTGATGCTGGAGCTGCTGCTGCAGGCGAGTCTGCACACGGGCACCATCATCCAGTGCGCGCGCTTCCAGGCGGCTGGCCCACAGGAGCGCCCCACTGCTGAGGTGAGTGGCTTGGAGCCTGGAGCCTCGGAGCCAGTGCCTCCCTGTCCTGGTGGGGCCTTCCTATGCCCAGGCCCATTGACACCCACCCTTGCTGGCTTCTTTCAAGACTCCCAGAAACATCTTGGAGAAGTAAAATATGGAATGTTTTATAAGCCAGCTAGGCAAACACAAATCCATCCTGAGAAAATATTGGGGACCGAATGCTTCCAGTTTTGCTTCTGCAAATGTGCTAGGATTCTTGACCCTCTGCACATGGCTCTCTGGGAGGGGCTACCCGCTCCTGGCATGTGTGCTGGCATCCAGACCTCTGGCCAGGCCCAGGCTGCCGGAACCTCCACCCAGGTCCCTCCTCTCGTCCCCACACCTGAAAGGCTGGGGGTCTGGGTCCCTCCCTGTGGGCAACCTGTCCAGCATTGTTTTCACTGGGACACCAGCCCACTGCCCTTCAGGTGCACAATTCCCTGTACAGGGTCTTACAGGGCCCCCTGGTACACCGGATACTTCCTGCCCAGCCACTCTTGGGCCCCTCATAGTCTCACACCCTGTGCTCTGCACACCCTGGTGCTGTGTCCCCACCAGGCTGCTCCTGGTCCTCCTGGGGGACCCACTCCTGCCCCATCCTCAGGGACCCTGACCTTTTCCATCCAGTCCCTGTGCTGTTCCCTCCATCACATGCCTCAGGACCACCATTTCCTAGTTACCTGGTTGTGGTCAGTCTCCTGTGGGGATGTTGGCTCTGTCCCTGGCTGTACGTGCAGTGGACCTGGTTCTGTGTTGGGACACCAGGGTGCAGAGTGGGGGGAAGGACCCGGGAGCTGGGGCCAGCAGCTGCCTCCATTTCTTCAGGTCTTGCCTGACCACTGCCTTGAGGGTCCTCCTTCCCCAGTGTCAGGCCCCTGCCGATGCCATCACAGGGTCCCAGGTCAGGTCCAGACCCCGTCTCTGTGGGGGTGTCATTCCCTGCCCCCAGGAAGGGCCTGAAGGTCCCGTTTATTCCTGCACTGAGGTGTATCATTCCCCCATCAGCAAGTATTTATTGAGCACCTACTGTATACAGCTGCTGGCTTGCCGGTTGCTGGCCCCTCAGAGAACTGGCAGGAAGAGGCCTCATGAGCAGGTGTGGGACCCCCAGAGCCCTGGCCTCCTTGGACACCAGGCCAGTGCCCACCCCCACCCAGAGCCAGCATGTGGCCACATGGAGAGCTCGCCCCAGCCCAGGCTCCATTCCTGCAGAGGGTAGGTGCAGATGCAGTCGCCGTCCCGTGCACAGGTGGCCAGCAAAATGACCTTTGCCTGTCTTGGTCACAGGTGGCCAGAAGCCCCCTGAAGGAGTTTGACAAGGAGAAAGCCTGGAGAGCGGTGGTGGTGCAAATGGCCCAGTGACGGCGGAGGGGAGACAAGGTGCAGGGCCCAAGGGCCCCAGCGTGTGACTGAGCACAGACGCTAGGGTCCTCAAGCTACTGCTTCCCCCTAACCCCCTTTCCTGCTGTGAGAGTGGGCCAGGCTGCAAAGTGACTAGTTTTCAAATAGGCAAATGCTGACTTTTGTTTTACGGGTCGGTCAGCTCAGTGCCCCATGAAGAGGGGCTCGTGCGAGGGCTGGACTCTGGGCGCTGGTCTGGGCAGGTTTCCTGTCCACTGTGACCACTGCCTTTGTCCACTTGTCCCGCACCTCACCCACTCCCTGCCCCTTTTTTGTTGAGCACCTACTGTGTGCAGACAGCACGCACAGTGGCTCAGCCCATCTCGGCGTCTCTTCTGAGTTGTGTCCAGACCGAGCCCCCTAGCCCAGCACTGTTTCCTTGTCGAGAGCAGACCTGAGTGCTCTGTCCTGTGTCCGGACCCCACATAGCTGATGCTGCCTGGAGCCTGGGCACAGGGCAGCCCACACCCACTCCCGCACTTCCTCCATGCAATGTCCACGGCCACACTGCTGCCCTCCCTGCTTACCCGGCCATTGCAGAGGGACCCCGCCTGCTCAGGGGCGCTGGTCCATATCCATGTGGGTGGTTTGTCTGCATTTGTCACTGGCCATTTCTAGCTCCCAAGCCCTTTTTCAACAACCACATGGAGAGGGACCCGTCCACTGTGCCGGCTCAGTGACCTTTGGGGTGGGGCCGCATCACATCAAAGACTTTGAAAACTGACTGGGTCACGTCTCTGTGTCTGGATGGCCTCAGTGACGTGGGTCAGGCTGAGCCCTCCCTCCGTTGTTGGCTCTGCTCCCCCCAGGCCAGGCCGCTGCCATTGCCTGTAGGACCGCCTGCCCCGGAGTCCTCACCATCCCCTAACAGGTAGTTCATCTTGACCCTCACTCACCTGAGGTCTGGCTGGGCTGGGGTCTCCTCCACCTGTCACCTACCCACTGGCCAGGCTGCAGTTTGGGTGTGAGAATAACATTTGCTTTGATTAAAATCATGGCCAAGAGGTGGTTTGTGTGCTGTCTCTGCCCCTGAGTGAGTACACCTGGAATCGTTAGAACCGTTAGCTTCTCCCCACTGACGTGGGCACCAAGAAATCCCACGAGCTGGGAGCACGTCTTGAGGTGGCAACTTGGCTCGTTTTAGGAGATGTGTTCAGGCTGGCGCGTTTGCTCACAGGCTGCCTGCCCTTCAGTGCAGGGAGGTAAGAAGCTGGCCGTGCTGGGAGGGGCTCAGGTTCCCTTCTCTTTGTTCAGGTACATTCTCCGAGTCCCATGGGCTGACGGAGAGGCTGGGCCACTAGCATCGGGGAGACGAGGGCTAGCCGGGGCTGGCCAGGTGTGGACCTGGTGAGGGGGACTCAAGGACCCTCCTTGCTTTCTCACTTCTGAGCGTGGGTGACTAGCTGCCACCGTCACGATCAATCAAACGAGAGGAGTGCAGGTGAGACACCTGGAAGGTGGAGAGTGCCAGCCAGAGAATCATCAGAGCTGCTGCTCTGACAGCCCCTCCTGCTGTCCTTGGCAGCTCTGGGAGGCCGGGTGAGCGAGGGGCCAGGTGGGCAAATGCCGCAACCAGGTGGCTCTCACCTGCTCACATGTAGACCCCACCGAGGCGCAGCCCCAGCCCCCACCCCTCCCTGCAGCTCCCAGGAGGCCAGGTGGATGCCCCTGAGCTGGGCACAGGAGCCACAGGGACAGCCCCGCGATGCTGATGTCTTCTGGGGGGTCCAGGAAGTCTGAGTCTAGAGCCATAGGTGGGTGCCTGTGGGCTTAATGCTGGCTGTGCTTTGGTTGAAAGAGAGCATGAAAAACCCAGACGTAGGGTAAAAACTGACAGTTCCCTGTCACTTTACATTTTCTTTGACACAATTAACGCTGCCTGAGCAGCAAGTGTTAGCAGGTGAACGTGGCCTGTTGAATCGTGGGGGTCTGGGTATATCCTTGCCCAGGGAGGCAGGTGGAGGTGAGCGCCACCTTCACCTTACTCAGGATTCATGTGACCCCTGAGGCCGGGGGGGCTGGTGAGAGCCCGAAGGGTGTGCGGACAGGCCCCCACCCAGGGGCCCCCACCCCGCTGAGCCTCCATAGCGACTTCCAAGTGGAAGCAGAGCCCGCGGTTATCTGGGGAAGTTAAATACAAAGTAAAGATGATTTTAAGCCAAATAACGACGTCTAGGCTCAGCAACGTAGGAGACACGGGCGCTGGCGGCGGGTGGGCCTTTCCGGCTCAGACCACCCTCCCTCCCTGCAGATGCCCAGCGGAGAGGGGCGGCCCAGCGGGAAGCGGCGCCTGGGGGGGACCCTGGTGGGCGAGGAGCTGGGGGGGTCAGCGCGCCAACGGGTGAC